AGTCGTCGAAAAAGAGTGGTGGTCGGAATGGTCGTCAGAATAGTTCTCAGAGCGGTATGGGTAGTGCATGTGGGATGAGTTAATTATATTATATTAGAATTAAATATTTAATAATAAATTGATTTAATAATTTATTATTTCATAAATAAAAATTACAAAAAAAATCTGATTTTTGAATTTTCAAATTATAAACTTGATTTTTGAATTGGTGTAAACTATACACCTTATTTGTAATTTTTTCCCTTATTATAATGTGATAATTTTAAGTATGTGAGCGAGAATTATGTAAACCATAATTAGAGTTAGAGTCGGTAATGGGCCGACTTTATAATTTCCTATATAATGGTTAGGTCCTCTCTCATCTCCAAATGGTTTAATTGGCTTACCCTATTAAGGACTGATTATTTTTTAGGAGTAAGGAGATGAAGATCTAATTGGTAATATTTACACACACAAAATGTCTCCCACATGTATGAATTACAAACTATCAATTAGAATATATGATTCTTAATCTTAGCATGATCATCGTCAAATGACAACATATTTCACCACGTGTCTCATGTAAATAGATTATTCCATCATATGTTAATTCCAATAATTTTCATGTCTAATAGGTTATCTTTTGGTCAAAGTTTTCTCATTCTAAATTTATTAGAAAAAATAAATATATTATAATATTCTGCTCATGGATTAGAACACGTTGCAAACTCTCTTAATCGACTAAAGGATCCGTTTAAATAATTAGTCATAGTTAATAAAACCAACTATATTAATGTTGGGACTTGGGCGCCATATTTAGTAAAAGAAAATATTCTTGTTGGTTCTTTATATATATTTAACTCAGTCACCTTATCAATTCATTTGTCTTTTTCTCCAATGACATTTCGTCCTTTGGTTGAATTATTATAAAGGTCAAAAAGCTTGGTGAAGTGGGTGAAGTTCGGTTAATTGCAAGTGTAGAAATGTGTACAAAGAATGGTGGGTGAGAGTATCTTTTGTAATTGATTAGTGTAGCGTGTGAAATGAATGGTATGTCGAAATCTGCAACCTACATGTTCCTTTTGAACAAATATTTAAGGGTTCGTTTAATTGATTTAAATTCCATGGAAAATGTCGTATTCAAAAAATTCAATTTTTACTTGACTGTTTGATACGAAAGTGGAAATGAAATTCGAATTTCAAAATACAACCACTTTAAACTTGTTTTTTGCTAATTTCATGAAAAATGCATTCCTATGGAGTACTTGTGTTTTTATTTTTCGACTTACATGGAATTGAAAATCCTAAGGGCTCCTTTATGTAGTAAGTACGCTGCAGATTTTGGGGACCAAAAGCCTATCTTTTCGTGGATTGTTTGGAATGGTCCCCCATTCTTGATTTCATCCTATTTTTGGAGAGAAATTTATGAACGAAAATGGAAAAGGAACCCTTTTGAATTTTCCAAAGCCATCACGTTGTGTCAGTAATTTAATTTCTCTAGATGATCATAACTCATTGAAATAAATAATTGGAGTAATTGCGTTTCTTTAAAGTTTATTTTCAGCTTTTTAAGAAAGAACAAAAAATAATAATAATAATAATAATAATGAAGAGAGCACAAGTATATTATAAATTAGAGAGAAGTCAATAGAATTATGTGTGTTTTATTGAAAACCAAAAGTCTTATATTTATAGAGAAGGATTATAAATATAATGGTAATAATTTCTAGGGTTGTATAGGCACAATTGTAATTCATTAATAAATTTACCATTTACACTACTTCCCCTTAAATGACACATTACAAAATACCTGTCTTGTTAAAACCTTATCAAGAAAGTTCAGTATGACAAAACTTGATTGAAAGAAAAAGAGTACAGCTGCTCCCCAATTTCAATTCTTGTATCAATTCATCATTGTCTTGTACGTCAATATCTTTAATATTGCAATTTTGGTGACTGTAGTAAAATGATTATACGGTAAATAGCTCTTGTTGATCTTTTCGAAAGTATGATACATATAACAATATTATTTTGGGGGTAAATGTCATGCATGTTACGAACATCTATTATACAAAGAATATGTCTCGTCAAAACCTTATTAGGAAAAATCTTGTAGAAAAAATTCTAATGAGGGAAAAATCTTACGGGACAAAATCTCGATCATGGGAAAAAGAGAACAACGTGTATTTCCTCACTCTCACGACAATATCACTTGAATTATATTTCGATTATATTAAATCCTTCATGAATAACATTAATAGTCATGTCAGATGAGTTGACTATCACGTATTTCAAATTTCACGCATCGCCAGATAACATGATATGGACTCGTGATTTCATCCACCTCGATCTTTGCAAAATCCACTATGTTGAGAGTCGTGCATTACATATTACGACTTTATTTTTCTCATTTCATTTTTGCATAAGTATATACATTTAGATTTTGTAGATCCAAAAATTTTAGATTTCTATATTAAATTCAATTTAGAATGGCGTCTCTTTTATTTAGCCAATCATTACTTCGATCGATATATTTCGATTCCTTGCTATATGATACGGTACATCATATGCAAAATTATTGCCGACAAATTTTTCTTTTTCAATTATATTTATTTTTTCATAACAATATAACTTATTGAGATATCTTAAATTTCATTATTTCAGATACCTGAACATCTTTTAAGATTTTAAAATTTGTTATATATAAATATTCATTAAGAGTATATACCTCCTTAATATGACTCCATTTACTAATTGCTCTATTTTCGTTTGGAGATTTTATATCAGAATCGAATATTATTACGCTTCAAATATGCATAAATTTATCAAATATAATATTAATTAATTGTCCTCCATGACGTTAATTTGAGTTGGAGCATGTAAAGCTAGTGTGTGACATATTGTTGATCTCTTTGATCAATAAATGCATCTAAATAAATAATCTTTCGAATTTTTGGTTTGATTATCTTTTGTGAGAATTTAGATAATGATGAATTTTGTACATTATTTTTAGTTTCTCAAATCCTTTCCTTAATGCTAAGAAAATTGTCCAATCAAATTAACAATCATTTTTACTACGTTATAAAATACTACTCATTTGAGATAAGAGTTCAAACATCGTATTTATTCTCAAAATTCTTTACTTTTTATCTTAGTGCAATGTGATATATTAATTATACATATATTGCACTATCAAATAATTAGATGAAGAAATCAGGCTTTTAACATAAGTTAAGTTCTAATTGAGAGAACTATGATGTTGACATGATGCGTAATGATTGTTCCTAAATATAAATGAGAAGTATTTTGTTTTCAATTAAATTAATTGGAGTCGTCTAACAAATAATAGTGTTAAATTATTTACCGATATCTCAACTAACACTTATTAAAAAGTTGAGATTTAGGATCACTAGTAGTAACAGGACACAACGTCTTGATTGTATAATCTGAAAATTATGTCCATAATTTAAACAGTAAATTCGTAAACTTTAGGTTGCGAACACCATGTAATCATCTAATATTAATATCAAATTTATTAGATACAAATAATATCTAGATAATCAACATGGAGGATGACGACGTCTCATATATCACCCTAATTAATTTTAAAACAATATAGGGAATTCAACTCATATTAAGTTTATGATGACCTATTTTCATTCTTAGCACCCAATAAGGTTGCAGAAATGCTCGGTGAACTCCTCAGATAATTTGTCCCAGTGCAAGGGGATAATAATTCAAAATATGGAAAGGAGTCGAGACTCTCAGCCCGTAAAAGACAAGTCACTGGAAGCATAAGGAGCAAAAAATGTTCTAGCATACTGCAGAGCTTCATCTCTGCCGTTGTGTTGCAAGATCTCTACAAACTGACGGTGATGAAACTTCAGTTCAATGTCAGATCCACTTTGAATAAGTTGTTCCTTGTTGGTGGAAGCCCAATTCAGAGCAGGCTCCAGGTTATGTGATTTCATGGCTTCAACTATTTGATACATTTCCAAGAAAGAACATGGCAAAAAAAATTTGTTGGGTGATCATAATTTGGGGTTTGAAAATTTGGGGAAGATAAAATTTGTTGGGTAATGGGAAAGAAGGTGGCGATGAGGAGATGACAGTGGCGCCGGTGTTGGGTGGGTGCGGTTGAGCCATTCGGTATTGGTGGTGATGGTTTTGGTTAGGGTAGGATAGTGTAGGGTGTGTGGGAAACACCAATCAAAATCTTAGAATAGATTTAGAGATAGTTGATTTTCTTCAACATATTGACTCTTTTGTGATTATGTCTCACTTCAATTAATTAAATATGAAACATAACTTCATTTCGGGAACACTAGTTATAAGTTGGAAGTGACAAAACTTCAAAAAAAAAGTAAAAATCACTCATAAAAGTGAGAAACGACAATCAAAGCCTTATAATTGACCCAGGGAATGGTCGATTTTCTTCTACGTAATGTCTCTTTGTGATTATACTTCACTTGTATTAACTAAATATATAATATAAATTAATTTTAGGAATACAATAACTATAAGTAGAAAGTGACAAAAATTCAAAATTTTACAGAAATTAAAAAAGGTGACAAATTTACGCTCATGTCAATAATTCAAAATCACTCTACTATCTGCACGTGAAACGCATGAACTTGCCACATATAGTCATGTACGAGATCATATTAAAAGTGATTTGAAAGTACAAAAATATTATGTGAAGTTAAACAAATCCAAAGATTATGGATGTCAAAGCAGAAGAATACTTGCATGCTTCTACTGCTAGTAGTGCACTGAGTATTGAATTTAGCGATCCAGATTAGAAGTCAAAGTATAAGAAAGACATTGAGGCATGTTTCAACTTTTCGTTCATGTCCGAATAACAAGAATTTGATAAATAAATATATTTAAAAAAACATTACAAGAAACTTGACAAAACCAAAAAGTTCCAAAAATAAAACATTAACCTAGAAAGAGCAAGGCAAACACTGCATCCACAAGTGAGGTATCTACGAGCCTCGGTGCTAATGTATTAACATGGATGTTATCCTTTCCCCACTCACAGGCTAAACTCTTCGTCAATTGATTCATTGAACAATAAACGTCTTTAAACAAAATATGAAATTGATGTAATCATGCCATGATGATTGTCAATGTTTTGAATAACTAACCTATTGACGCACGATAGACAAACATAAGGATACCCTAATGTATTAACTATTGAAGAAATAAATATGGAAAGTTGTAGCAGCAGTCTCAAACCTTTGACTTTTTTGCAGATTTTAGTTTAACCTTCACTTTGTGTCAGTGGAAGTCCTAAACCTTTGAGAAATTACCAGCTGGAGTTCAAATCATTCATTTGACCGTTAATTGACCAAGAAAAATTAACTTTAACCAAATTAAAAAGGGGTAAAATGGTAAATTTAAAATTTCACATTAAATAAATAAATAAACCAAAAAAATAATATAAAAAATCATAGAAAATAAAAAATGGTTGCCCAACCCAACCCAACCCAACCGTACATCCTCTCCTACTCCCACCTCTGAAAATTAGCCACCATCATCGCATCTAACGTCGACACCACCGTCGTAAAATACATTAATGCTCTCCTATTTGCAAACAAGAACTTGTAAATCTCAAATTACCTTTTTCCCCTCCCACGCAGCAATTATTACCCGAGGTAAACACATAAACCAAAAAGCCCTAACACATGTAGTTCATAGCCTCCATGGCTGTTCAATTCGGTCAAGAATCTTGGCATCGTAACCCTCAATTTCATCAATAACAAAATATCCCAACAAACCCCATTTTAATTAAGTGGTGGAATCAACAATAAGATCATTGGCTGCTATACTGGTAAATGGGAAGGAGGTTATTGTAATTGAATTTTATTCACCAAACTCTGGTTTTAGCTTTCAAAATTTTATCAACCGATGGCCGAAATTTAGAACGTACGAATGATTCATCAAGTTTCAACACATTATGAAGATGATGAACTCAAAAGTGCCTCCAAATATTCAACTCCCAAATTGATTCAAAATTAAACCAAAAATAAAAACAACAAATTGTTGGAATATTAAAACCAGATAACCAGCAAAAGCACGGCAAACCAGTAGCTTCACCAGATGTTCACCAGCAACTCCTTGCAGTAGCACAGCAGATCACCTCCAGGCAGCAGCTTCACCAGCTTACCAGAACACGTTTCAGCTCACCTTCAGTTCACCAGTTCACGTGTTCAGTTCCACTTCTTCCAGCTTCAGATTTTAGTTTATTCTAGTATCTTCTTAA